AAAAAAAAAAAAAAAAAAATTATATGGGTTTATAAAGGTCTTTTAAAATTTTATTTAAAAATTTGTATTATTTGAGTACAGTAATTTAGAAAACTAGGCATGGTGTCGTATCCCTATTGTCCCAGTGCCCTTGGAGGCTAAGGCTATAGTTAGGTTGGCAAGTTTGAGCCAGCCTGGGCTACTAGTGAGTTCCAGGTCAGTCTCAACTACATAGTGAGACCCTGTCTCAAAACAAAAATCCAAGCAATCAAACAAACAAACAAACAAAAATTACTTCGTGATCTATTTGCTTCTTTTCTAGGTTCAGTATTGGAATGAAGAGTCAACAAAATAAACATTTTTGTTTTCTAACCTCCTTTAGTGGTTTTATTATCCTAACCTTTTAAAAACTGCAAATGACATTGAACTTTATATAAAGTAGCTTTAAGTCGGAAGTGATAGCCTATACCTATAATCTCAGCACTTGGGTGGCTGCAGGGAGAATTCAAGCCCAGCCTGGGCAATTTAATCGTTTAGTGAGACCTTAAAAGAAGTGCCTGGGATGTAGCTCAGTGTGACAGCCTTAGGTTCAGACCCCACTACTGGGTAGAAATTCACAAAAACAAAAGAACTTTCACTTTAACTTTTAACTGTACCATTTTATGCTATAAAATGGTGACTATTTTAGAATCATTGGTAGTGTGTCTTTTTACTTTCTACACATCGGTTCATTTTTTACCAGTGCAAGTAATAAAACATTTTGTTCTTTGAAAAATAATTCTTGGAATTAGTGATAAAGCAGTAACCATTGAATAAGTTTTGTGTTAGTGGTTTTTTTGTTTGTTCGTTTGTTTGCTTGTTTTTTGTACTTGAAGTCAAACTCAGCAGTGCTCTCGCACTGAGCTATGTCCCTAACCATTTGTGTTTTTTTATTTTGAGACAGGAACTTGCTAAGATGCTCAGGTTGGCCTTGAACTTTCAATCCTCTTTAGCCCCTGAGGAACTGGAAATTCGGTGTGTGTGCAGTTGCATCCAGTGGAACTTGAATATTTGAATGCATACTATTCACTATTAAAAAAATACTTTTGATTTAAAGCCTTTTTTTTTTGTACTTTTAGATTTTTGGGTAAGTACTGAGCCTACTGACTTTCAGGTCATAGAGACCTTCAAGATTATCTTTAATTTTGATTTGTATTTTAATTTTTTAATTTAAGTATATTTTTTTGGTTTAGAATGTAGAGTCCAGGATACATTTGTGATATATGATGCGTTCAGATATTGCTCTGTATGCAGCTTTTTTTATCTATTCCCCGACTTAATCATTAATTTGATTTTTGAAGGTTGTGATTGGATTTGTTTTACTCCAGTGTTCATAACATTTGCATTTATCCAATACTCTCTTATAACAAGGGATGCAGGTGATTCCGGACTCGGAAGAGGCAGAGGACCTGTCACTGAAGCAGGTCAGTAGGCACCAACCCAGTTGTGAGAAAGGATTAGTATATCAGAGAAGGGTATGGCTACAGGCTAAGTTGCTGGGGAAAGTGTTCGCGCATATAGATGGAAAGAAAGAGAGTACTTTGGAAAATGAAAGCCCACTTGGGAGGGCTGTAGTTAGAAAGGGAGAGGCAGTGAGAGATGAAGATGGCATGTATCAGGTCATATAAGACATTGTAAGCTGTGTGAAGAGTTTCTGTATTTTAAGCAGTGTGGGCAGATATTGATTTCTTTTTTTTCTGTGTAAAGCAGGGTCTTGCTGTGTAGTTCAGGCTAGGCTTGAACTCAGGATGTGGGCTTGAGATCAAGACAATCCTCCTGCCTCAGCCTTTTGAGTGCTGGGATTCCAGGCAGGTGCCCTAACTCCTGGTTTAATGGTTTTTAATGGAGACAATGGAGGTAGAGTGGGGCAGGAGTAAGGAGAAAATGATGTGCCTTTTTGTACAACATGGCCCTTAAGTATAAGTCATCTACTTAATCTGATGCTTAAATGTTGGAGGAAAAATGGTGACTAACCATTTTAATTTATATTCAGAGGATACACGGTACTGGTCACCAATATAGTCTGTTAATGTGGTAATATGTACTCCAAGGGTGCGTTTAAGAGATTTGTCAAGGATAATTGAGCATAGGTAGCTTTTACTTTTCTATATTGACTTGGGAGTTTGAAGCCCTAAGACACTGGCAAATTTGCTCTGGGAGAGCCTGCAGTGAGGAGACAAGTTTCAGCTGTTAGGACCTCTTGTGCTGAGTAGTGAGGAAGTGTGGCAGGGAAAATTGAGGAAGAACATCATAATTGTGGGGGGATAAGGAGAGAGCATATGATGGCTTCAGAGAAGACAAGTATTTCAAGTAGTAAGATTAATGTGACAAGTTCTGAAAGTGTTAAATGGATTTAGCCCTCTGAGATTATTGACCGATTACAACAAATTTAGAGTCATAACTGGCAAGGTTAGAGTAACTTGAAAAGTGAGTGGGAGAAGAGCTGGAGTGGGTAAGTACAGTATAGTCAGATTTTTTTGAGTAAGTTTGTAAAGTGGAGGGCGTGAGAAAGAATGGAAATTGGGACTGAGGTAT